TTCTTTTCTCAAAGATCATTTTCTCCTCTCATTAGGACAAATTCAAAAAGGTCATTTTTATCAAAATAAAAATCAAATCAAATACATGAATTAAACTTCACCTTGACATCCATAAAAACATTCAAGATAATCATTCATAAATGCATCATTTTATATATTGATCTTTCAAGAAATAAAAGTTTGGTGATGACTAGACGCCCTCAACATGAAATAACGATGTCATCCACAAATTTGACATTCTGAAGTGAATGATCAGATCTTCTAAAGGCAACTAGATCTCCTAAACATGCAGAAGTAGACTGTCTACCACCTTTGAGATGTTTCTTTTGAAACAAAGTTTTGTCTCTTTTGAGATAGTTTTTCTTGAAACAAAATTGATCTCACTTAAGATTGTTTCTATCGAAATAAAGTTTCATCTCGTTTGAGATAATTTTTCTTGAAGAAAATTGATAACATTTGAGATTGTTTTTCTTAAAAATAAATTTCATCTCGCTTGAGACAATCTTCCCTTGAAATGGAAATTTTGAAATTGTTTCACTCGAAACAAAATTTTATCTCACTTGAGATAGCTTCTCTGGAACCAAATTTCTTTCCACTCATTTGATTTCGCTCAAATGTTGAATATTTGACAGAAATTCGAAGAGTTAGCAGAGAATTTAATTCCACAGACCTCCTCAACGAGAAGGAGCAATGTCATCATTAGATTTGGCACCGAGCAACGATTAGCTCTCCTTAGCATGAAGGAAGAATGTCATTTTCAAATTCAAACTATCTTTAGACAATTAGACTTCCTCAGCAAGAAGGAATATCATTGCTTCAGATTCACAATCCTTCAAAAACGATTAGTTTTCCTCACCAAGAAGGAACCATGTCGAATCAAATTTTCAAAGTACGGCTAGATGTCCTCAACACGAAGGAACACTGTCATCTACCGACCACATCTCCTCAATGTGAAGGAGCAGTGTCATCCAGATAACTAGACTTCCTCAACACGAAGGAACAATGTTATCTCCAAGTATAACTAGACGTCCTCAACACGAAGGAACAATGTCATCCACCGACCAAATCTCTTCAACGTGAAAGAGTAGTGTCATCCTGAAACAATCATACCTCCTCAAAGCGAAGGAACCATGTTGTCTCTAAATTATCTCTAAATACGACTAGACGTCCTCAACACGAAGGAACAATGTCATCCATCGACCAGATCTCCTCAACACAAAGTAGTTGTGTCATCCTTAGACAATCAGACTTCCTCAACGCGAAGAAACCATGTTGTCTCCAAATTATCTTCAAATACTGCTAGATTACCTCAACACGAAAGAACAATACCGTCCACTGACCAGATCTCCTTAACGCAAAGAAGAAGTGTCATCCTCAAACAATCAAACTTCCCCAACACGAAAGAACCATGTTGTCTCCAAATTATCACCAAATACATCTAGACATCCTCAACAAGAAGGATCAATGTTGTCCACTGACTAGATCCCTTTAACGCAAATGAACAATGTCATCCTCAGACAATCAGACTTCCTCAATGCGAAGGAACCGTGTTGTCTCCAAATTATCTCTAAATACGACTAGATGTCCTCAATACGAAGGAACAATGCCATCTATTGACTAGATCTCCTTAACGCAAAGGAGCAGTGTCATCATCAGAAAATTAGACCTCCTCAAAGGAAAAGAACAGTGTTGTCTCCAAATTATCTCCAAATATGAATAGACGTATTCAACACGAAACACCAATGTCATCCATTGACCAGATCTCCTCAACACGAAGGAACAGTGTCATCCTCAGGCAATCAGACTTCCTCAATACGAAGAAACCGGTTGCCTCCAAATTATCTCCAAATACGGCTAGACATCCTCAACACAAAGGAACAATGTCATCCACCGACCAGATCTCCTCAAAGCGAAGGAGGAGTGTCATCCTCACACAATCAGACTTCCTCAACGCGAAGGAATCGTGTTGTCTCCAAATACATCTAGACGTCCTTAACATGAAGGAACAATGTCATCCACCGACCAGATCTCCCCAACACGAAGGAGCAGTGTCATCCTCAAATAACGAGACTTCCTCAACACGAAGGAACTGTGTTGTCTCCAAATTACCCAAATACTTCTAGAACATCTTCAACACTATATCATCTTCGGATTAACCCGATTTCCTCAACGAGAAGGAATAAGTGTCATCTTCAGTAAACAATTTATCTGAAAGCAACCAAGACTCTTCAACATGGATAAACAGTGTTGTCTTTAACATCAAGCTTCAATGCGAAAGAATGGGTAAATAGAGGTAGCTGTAGACACCCATTTTTTTTAGGTTTTAATTATTAATTATTATTATTATTTTAATTATTATTATTAATATTTTTTCTTTTATTATTTTTACAGATTACAAATTGGCCCAAACCAAATTAGAAGGGCCCAACTACAATAGCATCCAAGACCATCCAACTGTCAGTCAACAGGGAAACAATGCAGCCTGCAACAACATCCAAGCCCACCCGGTTCAGGCTCAGAACTAAGCCTGCAGACCCAAACAGTTAGGTTTTTCACCATTATCTCTAGTTGACACTAATCTCCACCGTTAGATCTGGAGGGAGATCAACGGTTATATCCCCTAGAATTTAGGGTTTTACCCTAACAAATATAAACAGTTGTTGCCAGCATCAAAATCTGACCGTTTGATGGCACACATGTGATACACGCGCCAACCTTCTGTTATCCTCATCACGTGAGCCACTACTGGAGCTCCACACTGCCGTCGTCATCAGCAACAGACCCAAACAGTGACAGAAAACCACCCAGTCAGTCTAAAATCTCACCAAATCCCAAAACCCCATTAAAAATCCTAAATCCCGATAAATCTAGGAAAATGATGCCCCTATCGATAGGTCTCATGATTTCCACCCAATAAGCAACAATAAATCAGCAAGCAAACTTTTTTTCTCGAAGGGAGAAACTGAACAAAAAAAACCATATTCGAACAAAAAGGTATTTTTTGAACCAAAAAGAAGAAGATGAAGCTTTCGAACAAAAAGAAAACCCACCACTTTCGAACTAAGAACCCCTCGAAATTAAAAAAATCAAAGAAGAGACTACCTTAGTTCTTGGCCGAAACCGTGATCTCCATCGAGCCAAAACCTTCAACTTTCAAAGGTAACCACGAGATATATTTTAGATCTAAGGTGAAGGGTTATGTTTTAGGGGATTTAGGCTTGGTTTTTGGTTTAAGGATGATGAAGGATTTTATTTGGGGCTAACTTAGCCCTCGATTGACACCGACCCACGGTGGCCGGAGTGGATTACCACGGTTGTGTGGGAAGGGTTTTGGATAGAGCTCTCTCCCTTGTTTCTTTAGGAAGCAGACATGGGGAGTATAAAATGGAATTAGGTTTTCAAAATACCCTTAAAATGGGTTATATCATAACCTTCATGCGGCGACGTTTTGGCAATAAGGGAGACCGAGTGCCCGAGTTATAGGATAATAGCAGTTTCGGTTCTTTTTGCTTTGTAATATCACCTGTTGGACTTAAATGAGAATTTGTGTTATCTCGTTTTGAGCATTTATCTTTCTATGTTTATATTTAAGTCACCAGTTTATACATTATGCCATGATTGATAATATTCGAATCTAACCATGATCTTTATGAATATTTATTTTGATCACTATTTTGTATGGATGCCTTTAGGTAAATTTATTCTTTATCCCTCCATGTTTCTGGTTTATTTCATTTTAGTCCCAAATCCTATTTATGGGTTTCTTGTGTTTCTATTGCCTGTATTGTATAAGATTCGTATTCTGCACCATGATTCTTGTTTTATTTACATTTATGCTAGTGAAATTTTTGTTCGTATGACTTAGTCCCTATTTTTTATTTAGCTTTATTGTGGTCCTTACTATTCTATTTTTAATTAATTTAATTCTTGTATAATTTGATTTCTATTTCTTTTCATTTTTCCCATGAATGCATATTTATATATGTTTATTTATTTATGTGTGTATATATTATATCATATTATATGTGTATATATTTATTTAATATTTCTTAACTCTTGTATATATATTATTAATTTTTATTTTATTTTGTTCGATCTTATTTATTTATTTTATTTTATATAATGCCCAGTTGTCAATATTTTTTTATATATCTCTTGCACTTGATGTTTATTTTTTTATTCAAATATTTTCAAGAACCCTCTATTGTAGAATGGACGTGAAAAGCATTGCTTGATCGAAGTAGTGTGATTCGATACGACATTTGACCTCAAAACAAACTTGAAATAAGTCGAATTTATTTTTATAAAAATGACAATTAATCCACTTTTATTCAAATGATGCAATGCTTGTTTCTTCAAATAGTAAGTTATTTTATGAAATTACCGATATTCAATTTTTATTCTATTTGTAACTTCTGACAACGTTGAGAAGAGGGACATTTCTCGTATAAGAGAGAAATAGAAGAGATAGCCTTCCCATTGGAGGATGTGCAAATCCCATTTTTTTTCAAATAAAGTCATAATTGTTTTTTAAACCTAATTGTTTTCAAAAATGGTTATGACAAGTGTGTTTTTATATCCTGTGGTAATATGCTGCATTTTCGGTTTATTATGCTTTTTTTTTTCTTCATGTTTCTATCCATGTTTTTTTAAACATCTAGTGAATTTCCTATCGCCTTTTTACGGTTCTATGGTCAGTTTTTAAAAGTAAAAAAAAATTTGAGAAATTCAAAGGATGCTTGAATTTGCCAGTACAGTCAAATTAAATTTTTGATATTTCAGTTTTGATGTAGAGTATGTTGTGTCTTGTTACGGTAAAAACTTGAACATTACCATTGATTTCTTTTTCTCCAATTGTCATATTTGAAGACCTGCAATCTCTTTCAATACATTCTGTTCTGATTTAAATGATGGCATAGTTTTGTATAGTATATAACTGTAACTCCTCTGTTTGATGCTCACTTGTAATTTATGTTTTCCTAAGTGATCATGCAGATAAATTCGGTTATGGTGTTTTCCGGTAATTTGTTGGGCATGGGGTCAGCCGGGTTTTTCATGCTGATCCTGTTGTTCAACACTGCAGTAATTATGCTAAACTTAATCTTTTTACTTAGCTACACTGATTTCACTTGTCTTCGACTTGTAGATCTTCTCAGTAATAGATTTGCCTTTTTAAATTATCTATGATTTTACACATACACAAGCCTTTTCTACTGGAAGCACACATCTTAATAGCGTTACGCTTGAATTTCAGGAAACAATGAAGGTGGACGTATGGTCTTGAATCAGACCTTTACTATTGGTAATGCCATTCATCCTTAAACCTATGTTCTAAATGATTGTTGAACAACATTCATTCATTCACTCGTTCATTCATGTGCTTCTCCCATTTTGCAGAACCGATGCTAACGATGGGCAGCATTAATCCGGTAATATGGGACGATGATTGGACGTTGGTCACACAAGATGGGAGCTTGTCTGCTCAGTTCGAGCACACAATTCTAATAACCGAAGACGGGGCTGAAATATTGACCGAATGTGAAGCTTGACACCAGATCAGGGTATCGTCCCTTTCCGAGTTATCGTCCGCTTCCCGTGTCCTCCGTCTGAACCTTAACTTTTACACACGTCACCCTTAGAAAAAGACACCATTCAGGGTTTTATTATCTAAATTATTTGTTTTTTTTGCTATTTGTTCAGGTTGAAACTCCATATAGATAGCAACTGTAGTTAACAATCCATTATTTTTATATGATTTATAAATGAAATATATCCATGGTTTTTATATATTTGATATCTTTTGTTTTGTTTTTTAATCAGAAATTTATGATGCATTAATTACATGATAAGAGAATAACATATTTCTATTCTACACTACCAACCAATTGTTTTTTTTTAAAGTATATTAATAAATGAAAAATACTTAAAATATTGCTTGTGTAGTGTAAAAAACTAAGATTTGGTTTGGTGTTCATTATGAATGATTGGTGAACAAAACACTCTAATGCTTGGTTGACGCTTAATGCTTAGTATGTTTAGGCTTTCTCTCAACCATTCAATTCTCCATAAGGTTTTAGGCAAATTTAAGATCACAAAAGAAACAAAAGAGAAAGGTGCTTGCAACAAACAATATATTTCCATTTTGGATGTAAACACAAACGAGTATTGTGGTATGGGATTAGTGGTCCTTTGATTTCATCAATCAAACTTGAAACAGATAAAAGACAACAAAGATACGGTCACTATGTAATGCAAATTCACGTGGAAAACGAAATCAAAGTTGTGCCGTTGTGTTTTAAGGATGCAATCAACCATTATATGCTCTTCTTATCCGTATGATGATAAGTGGAAATAGACTGTTGAAATTATCATATTTTTTAAAATTATTTTCAGTAAATATCTTTTTATTTCTTACTATTAATTTCAACAATTATTTTTACTCGTTCAATGATTTTTTTTATGTGTATAATTAAAAAATTATATATAAATATTGCGTTTGTGAGGATAACACAGAAGTAGCGTTTGCAAGAATATACAAGGCCTAATTTGAAACTTTGAATTGTAATGCAAGGCCAAACCTTGCCCAACTTTCGAACATGGTGAGAGAAGCTATTTAATCAAAACCACAGCCTGGCCATTGTTACATTCACCATGGAAGCCTTCAACGTTATGCCAACAACTTATGGTCAAAAAATCACTGTTTTAAGCATTGACGGTGGAGGAATTAGGGGTATTATACCTGCAACTATCTTGAGTTTCCTCGAACACAAGTTAAAGGTACGTTGACTGGTCATCGATTTTTCATTTGAATCGAGCATTCGGGTCTCCAATTTCTTCTCATATCATCTATTTTTTTTTACCAGGAACTAGATGGAGAAGATGCTCGGATTGCGGATTATTTCGATGTAATTGCAGGAACTAGCACAGGGGGTCTAATGTCAGCCATGTTAACAGCTCCAGACGAAAATGGACGTCCTCTCTTTAAAGGAGAGGATATTGCTCCCTTTTATCTCACACATGTCCCCATGATATTTCCTCGGAACAACTACAAGTAGTGCATCGCTTTCTCCCTTTTATTGGAATTGTTTCTCATTCACTGTAATGGAAAATGGGTATTTGTTGTTCAGGAAGATGACGATGAAGATGAATGGTCTAATGAGGCCAAAATACAATGGGAAGTATCTAAGGAAGACCATATGCAAGGTCCTGGGAGATCGAAGGCTTCACCAAACTCTAACCTCTGTTGTTATACCCACATTCGACATCAAATTGCTTCAACCCACTGTTTTCACTACGTTTGAGGTGGGATTTCCATTAACATTTTCATGTTCACAGACTTGAGAAAACCGTTCTAATTCTGGAATGTTGCAGGCAAAGAAGGATACTTCTAAAGATGCTTTGCTGTCCGATATTTGTATTGCTACAGCTCGGCTCCAACTTACTTCCCAGATTATAGATTTAAAACCCAAGATTCTCAAGGAACTGTCAGGGAATTTCATCTTGTTTATGGAGGGATTGCTGCAAATAACCCTGTAAGTTCTGTTTTATTTCTGATTGGTATAATGCCAAAACTATCCCTCTTTCGTCATTTGGCTCCCATTCTTTTTTTTAAAGTATTTTGCTCTCCACGTTTTATTTTAGAGTACAAAGACTCGTAATGTTTGATCAATTAATCATTTGACCATATTCTTTTTTAGATCATTTGGACTCATAACATTTATATTTTAGGGTAAAAAGCCCATATTTTTGTTGCGTTAATGGCTAGTTAACAAACATCCATATGTGTAGAGAGTCCCTTTTATCCCAAAAGAAAACGTCTGGGGACAAATACTCTAAAAAAGATAAAGATTAAAATAACTATTTTTTTTGAAATGATTAAAATTACTATTTAATGAGGCATAAAAGGATCTTGTTCGTGTTTCAATTTTTTCAATAATAAATTTTGCAAATATTATGGTCAGGAAACAAAAATTTTAAAAAATACATGTGTTAAAAATTTATTTTGAGATCTAAACCATTTGCTATAGTACAGGTGAAACTCGGTACGCCCTCATGACGAGTTTCATAAAATATCTTAAAAACATATAACTTCTCATGTAGTATGGATGAAATTTATATGAACTTGTCATGAGGTCATGAAGAGTTTCAATTATTTGTTATATTTTATAGAACTCTTCACAAGTAGCAAATGATCTAGATCCCAAATTAGTTTTCCAACATCTATATTTCCTTAATTTTTTTCCGTTTGCCTTATTTGTCGATAAAATTGGCCAATAGGCCAAACGGATAAAAAAATTGGTTGATTAGGCTATTTCTAAAATTAATTTGGGATATCCGACATTTACTACAGTGACTTGAAATTCGTCACGTGTGCATGATGAGTGCAAATAAAATATATTTTTTTATTAAAACTTGTCACCATGACCTAACGAATTCTCTAATAAAATAATTATATTTTTGGAACTTGTCATGTCGACGTGACGAGTTTGAACAAAAAAAATTATCTGGGTAAACTCATCATGTGTAGACCCCAAATTAAAACCCGGATTAACTTAATGGGATAATTCTTTTACCCACTTGGCTTATTAGGCCAATTTGCCTTCAACAAAGCCATTTTTTTTGACATTATGCATTTCTGATTTATATTATAGATTATAAATTCTTCTGGTATCTAAATTAGAGGCGCCTTGCATTTTGTATGCACTTTTAGCATTGAAGCCAACAGGGTTAGCGTTCCCAGATGACCAAGAACATGGAGTTACAGTGAAAAGAGCACTTAACTATGAGAATTACATCATAATTTCTCTAGGCACAGGAACCAGCAAGATGGAGAAGAAATACAATGCCAAAACTGCAGAAAAATGGGGAATTCTGGGTTGGCTTTACAGTGAAGGAAGCTCTCCATTAGTTGACGCCTTCACTTTTGCTGGAGCAGACATGGTTGATGTAGCCCCCAGACCCGGTCTGTAATTTAGACCCAAACCTAAGTGGTCACATATCTCATTCAGAGATTTTTTTTAAAACATCTTATAATACATTAGATATAATACAGAACAAAATGTTAATAATACAGATATATCCAAAACGATAGCAATTACATATCACCAAACATAACTGAAAAAACATATAGAGATATAAGTTCGTACAAAATAAGTAGTTGATCTCTCCTGATGCCAAATCTGATAGTTTACAATTTGCTTCTATCTGAAAAAGGGTAAAAACTACAGAATGAGCTAAAAAGCCCAGTGTGCTCCATACAATGTATATAAAAACATACTGATAAAAATATTCCAGTAAAATCAGTTTATGCAATTATGTCGTTAAAAATATGAACACTACCCCCAGCCCATCACAACAGAATGTGTAGGTTCCCCAGAACCATACACCCAGCCCACACAACAAATAAGGCCCTGAGCACAAAGCCGAGGAACCTGCGGATATACTTCCTTCAACAATACCCCCCAATGATAGAGATGTTCATGAATGTATTTGAATGAAAACCATGATTAATTCTTTAAAACATAAAAGTGTTCATATTTGGAAATCATATACAGAAATACGAAAATCAGAAGACAAATCAGTAGTATACAGAAATTCAGATATTGGATAATCAGTATTAAGAGAATCGATATAAAATACCATAACCAGAAATCATATCAGAAATATACAGTAAATCAATATCAGATACACAATATTCAGATATATATTTTAAAACATTACTAATGTAACACTGTCGGAAAACACACCTGTAACAGTCTGAGAAATCAGATAGGGAAGCATATTATTGGGTTTGTCGATCACGCTCTGTTACAGTGCTAGATCCTACGAATTAGAAAAAAATCCATATTGGAATCCTAGTATAAATAATCTTAATCTTTATTTAAATAATATACGGAACCTACGTGTATTTCTTGTAGTACGCGGTTCGGACTGATCTGACGAACGAACAACTCCAGACCTAACTGATCCTCGCTCAGGTGAAATACGAGTACCTTTATAAAATATTTTATTGAATCAATTCCTTAACCAAATCTCAAATAAATAATTAAAATATTAAAATACTAAGCCTTTTGGGTTTACATGCTCGATTCAGGGATTTCGGGTCAAAATTTGCCAAAACGGACTTCGGAATCAGATTCAGAACGTCGAAAAACATAAAGTATGACCTTCTGAAATTCTGAATTCTTGGTCAAAATCAAAGTCAACGGGTTTGAATGACGATTTGGAGACTTTCAAATTCGAATTTGGTGAAACGGACCCCAAAAACAGATTCAGGACGTCAAAAAATGTCAGGATAGCTATTCTCGAAAAAGATTAACGGCCGTTTAATAGCCGGTCAAAGTTCTGGTCAAAGCAGGTCAACAAACTGTCAATCATTTTACAGAAATATCATCCTTTTTAAATTAATTACTAAAATAGCACCTATTTCGAATTAATTACTAAAATAGCACCGGTCAACGGTCAACGGTCAACGGGTCGGGTCAACGGTCGGGTCGGTCAACGGGTCGGGTCAACGGTCGGGTCGGGTCAGAACTGGTCAAACCGATCAAAACCTTTAAAAACCGGTCAAACCGGTTATTTTTGCCTTCCCCACGCGCAATGACGGCATGTGGGGGCACGTGCGACGTCTATAAGTGTCGAAAAATTTACAGAAAATTTTTTAAAAATTATTTTGAGCGATTTCGAGATACTTACAAAGCTCGGTTCAAATTTTTGAACGACGGAGAGCTCGATTTCAACAAATCGGAAACTTTGACCGCTTCACCTCCCCACGCGCCGCCGTCAACGAAGACCAAGGATGACACCGGCGGACTCGGAACGGCACAAGGAACACGATGGTGCGGGAGGTGTCGTAAACGGAGCAACGATCGACGATGAATTTAAGATTTTCTCGGCTATTGAACTAAAAAAAGTCGAGACTTTGACTTGAAATTCACGGCGTTTGGCAGCATTTCACTTCAATTAATTTAAGGTGTTTGTTCCACGCTCGATGATAAACACGATGGTGGTTTCAAAACGACGATCCGAGGTCGGATGGCGTCGGAATCGGGTTTGGAAGTTGTGTGAAAAAAAAGAAGAAATTTGAGCAATTGGTTTCTGTAGAAACCAATTGCACGTCTAAATGACCAGAGCCTGCCGACACTTCAGGGGTAAATTCAGGGCTTGATCCTTGAATTTTCTTTAACTCTAAAATAGGCTACAAGTTTTAATCCCCAAAATTTACCAATTTACAAAATTAAAACCTCAAATTTCATTTAAATAATATTTTCAAACTTTCGGGTTGTTACAATTCTCCCCCTCTACAAGAAATTTTGTCCTCAAAATTTACCTTATGAAAATAGATGCGGAAATTGAACCTCCATTGACTCCAATGTCTCCCAAGTAGCTTCTGATGGGCTACGATTACTCCACTGAACTTTGACCATTGGAATACGCCTATTCCGAAGAACTCACTCATCCCTCTCTAAAACCTGAACAGGCTCCTCCTCATATGATAAATCAGGTCTCAGTTCTACCTCGTCAACCTGAATGATGTGATTGGATCTGGACGATATCGCCTCAACATAGACACATGAAAAACATCATGAATACGACTGAGCTGGGGAGGCAACTCAAGCTGATAAGCAACAGGTCCAACTTTCTTCAAAATATGATACGACCCAATAAATTGCGGACTCAGTTTACCCTTACGCCCAAATCTCAATACCTTCTTCCATGGGGATACCTTGAGAAAAACCTGATCCCCAACCTCGAACTCGATATCCTTACATCGCTTATCTGCGTATGATTTCTGCCTATTAAATGCCTCTTTTAAGCGATCACGGATCAATCTGACAATATCTTCAGTCTCTCGAACCAATTCTGGACCCAAAGTTTTTCTATCATGCAACTCTGTCCAACATATAGGAGTACGACATCTACGTCCATACAGAGCCTCGTACGGTGCCATGCGAATACTCGCCTGATAACTTTTATTGTAAGCAAACTCAACTAACGACAAGAAATCTTCCCAGCTACCACGAAAATCAATCACACAACCCTGTAACATATCCTCCAACACTTGAATAACTCGTTCAGAATGTTCACAGTCTGAGGATGAAAAACTGTATTGAAATTCAAACGAGTACCCATAGCCTCGTGCAAAGCTTTACAGAACCTGGAAGTGAACCTCGGATCTCTATCAGATATGATAGACAACGGTACACCATGAAGTCTAACAATCTCAGAAATGTACAACTTAACCAGTTTGTCCAGAGAATAATTAACTCGGATAGGAATAAAGTGCACTGACTTGGTGAGTCTATCAACAATCACCCAAATAGAATCTTTTTTGGAAGGAGTCAGAGGAAGACCAATAACGAAGTCCATTGTAATGCGCTCCCATTTCCACTCAGGAATCTTAATTGACTGTAACAATCTAGATGGATGTTGGTGTTCCGTCTTAACCTGCTGACAAGTCAAACACCTCACCACAAAATCTGAAATATTCTTTTTCATACCAGTCCAGAAGTAGCGCTCTTTGAGATTATTG